TGGGGGGGGGGGGGGGTAGGCTGCTAATCCAGGCTTCACCTTGTTTTGTCGACGAGAGATTCGGGCGGCGTAAACATCAAACATCACACGCTTGCTTGTGGTTCTGGTGTGGGGGCGACGCCTTTGGGTGTTTAGATGGTGCTACGGTATCTCGCGTAATTACATAGGAGCCCTAGAAAGCATGGTGTCTACTACATATAGCTCGTGTCGTACTTTCTCCTTATCTGGTAACAGGTACAATAAATTGCCAGGTTATGGTTCTTCGGTTCGGTTACACAATTACCCACCAAAACTAAAACAGTCTGATCAGTCGTTAAAGTGTGTGCATGTAGGCTGGCAGGCAGGGAGGGAGACACAAGGGAAGCCAACAAGTGCGGCGGTGCAAACCACGTACTAACTTGCTGCGTTTTTTTTTTCTTCTCGTCAGCACCCCGATTCCTCTCCGCGAAGAGCAGCCGTTTTCGGGAACACCCGTTGTCGTTGTTATCTCCTGAGAAAAGATGTATCGTCTCTTAGCAGGGAGGTGTTTCTCCCAGTTGACCAAAATTACACGTGGGCGCAGAAGAGGAGCTCTCATAGACCAACGTGGTAAATAGATATCCTATTTTATGGGTGCACGGAAAATATCCGGACGCTCTGACGAAGGGAGAAAGTCTATTTCGGGTGCTTCGGGGGCGTCGTTGCATGTGATCCCAAACATGTTGGTCTCGGTCCCGAGCCCGTCACTGTGTTGTCCCCGTAGTTTGTGCGTGTAGGTATGCTGTTCGTTCCATTACCGTTGGCTGTCCTACTGCTACTGATTTTTTTTTTTCCTGGCGTCGCTTTTGGTGGGGTTTTTCGTTTTTGGCGCGTTTTGCTAAAAAAAAGGTTGATGTTCCTCATTTTGCGATCTTGGCGATGCTTTTGTCTCTCCGGTGTGTCTGGGAGGCGGGTTACGCACACGAGCAAACAGACGCTTTGCAAAGGTTGGTGCACACCTAAACGTACGTCGATGTTGGGATACGACGTGCTTCCAACTGTGTCGTCTTAGGTGCGTGGTCAGTCTTTCACCTACTTCGGCATCAAAAGCGACAAAACATGGGCTGCAAGGTGATGCATGCTGTTGCACGCAAGCATCCGCCTCTCGCCCTCGCTCTTTACCCTATATCCTGGCCGATGTTTTGACCACTGCGCTTTAATGAAACAAAGAGACATACAATTGATCCCAACCACTCTGACACGTTTCCAGAAGCAGCGTTCGTGTTTCTGCTTTGCCACGAGTTTACATTCCTTCACAGACTCTTCTTCCCCAGCCAACCTGTCACTACAGCAGCAGCAGTGCCAAACAAGAAACCCTTGGTTCCAAGTCTTCGTTGCTTTTTTTATGGACAAAGAGTACCGAAAGTCCTGTTCACGCGCAATAACAGTCCCAGCATTACGCGAGTGGAGCAGCGACGCCGATGTGCATCTTTCTTCCATTCCCCCACCTTCGACTATTGGTTGCACGGCTTCCCTGCTTCAAAAGGCAAGGAACGACACCACCAACCCATCCATCCGTGTATACGTCATGCTCCGCCCTTCCACATACATACGCCGCCAAAAACGCCGGGAGCCGGCAACAGCAGCAGCACCACGACGGGGCCACGGGGACACTTCGCAGTCTATCACCCACACACGAGGGTGGTGCGCTTGCGATGACGCGTCAATTGCTCCCAAGCGCCAAAATTGAAGCAAAAAAGTCGACCATCAAAAAGAGGTCCCCGATGGAGGGACGGCGGGTGACACAAACCAAGCCAACGAAACCGAACAATCAGGTACGGCAGTAGAGGTGTAAGGCAGCACAATAATGTAAGGACCGGTTGCCCTGTTGAAGGTCGGTGAAATCGCTTGGCACAACGGATGGAATTTTCAGGTTGTCTTCATTCTCTGAATAGTGCCGGGTGCGCGATACATAAGGCCGGTGTCGTCCTGTTCCCCCCCCCGCCTCCCCCTGGACCATGCTAAACAAATCTTTTTTTT